TTTTTCATAACCTTACCCATCCACACCACCATCCTCCCCACCTATTCTTTATATCAATTTTCCACTTCATTCTACTTTCCTCTCTTCATGTTTTCTTCCAAAAACCATCATTCCCAAACCTCTTCCCATGTATATCTACCCACCTGCCTAAGAAGTTCATTTTTTTTCCAATCAATTTCTCCCTCCATTCACTTTTTCTTTTCAGGTTTTCTCCAAAAATCACCCCATCCCATCACCAATGGCACAATGGGTCACCTCCATCGTCATCGAAGGTGGAGGTTTTGATTTGCACTGGTTCAAAGGATTGCACTTATGTTAAAAACTTCGAAGGTAATATACATGGTAGCTTCAAAATCATGTGGGTGTTCATAGGTCACGGATCTGGATCCTTATTATCAATGATGCTAAAATGGGATTATACCAAGCTTTTTGTTGTTGCTGCAATGTGTGTTTAGAAGGAGCCAAACATGCGGCCCCTTACAGTAGATGTATGGTAATCTATGTTTTGGTGATTATTTTCCTATGAATGGAGTGAACAGTCAACTTGCTGGTTATTCTAGAAACCGTTTTGAAGACTAGAAATCGCATTAATGTTGGTACAAATCGGGGTGATACACATGCTTTTAAGTTAGACACAATCCTCAAGCTCGTTGATGTTAAAGAGGTCAATAAGAAAACCAAACTTTTACATTTTCTTGTTCAGGAAATAATAAGAAGTGACAGTGCTCGTTTTTATAGTAGGAACAACAATAACAAGTCATCTATAAATGATGATGCCAAATGCGGGAAGCTTGGCCTTCAAATTGTGTCAGGTCTCAACTTAGAGTTCTCGAATGTGAAAAAAGCTACTGGAATGGATGTTGAAGTGCTTAGTAGTGATGTGTCTAAGCTTTCAAAAGAATTGGGGCTGAATTATGGTGCTAGTCTGTAATGTGTGCAAATTTGATTGTGTGGTGACCATCTATGACGAAATATGTGTTCATTATGACTGGTTTTGACCAATTTGGTGTTAATTATGATTGATTGCGACTTGATCACATACCATCGTAGTTAAGATTGATATGTCACAGATAGTCACACTGGAGATAAATTTGATCATGATTTGTCACACTGGAGATAAATTTGATCACAATTTGTCACAAATAACACGTTAGTTACATGGTTACATATAGTTACAAATTAAATTGATTTAGTCACAAATGGTTATGCTGAAGATAAATTAGATCATAGTTAGTCACAAATAATATAAGTATGGTCACAAATAATAAATCTGGTCATAGATAACACAGTTAATCACAATTTTGATCACCTACAATGCAACATTATTACCACCATAGTGCCTAAAACATTGCTACAACCCCACCAAGACCACAACCATTACCATCAAACAAATCAACTTCAATGCACTTTCATCACCTGCAATGCACCATCACTATCACCATGTAGATCAATTTTTCTAAACATAGTGCCACCTCACAACCACCACCTGCAAAACTTATTTGTGTCTGTAAATGTGTGTGTGCGTGTGTACAAAGAGAGAGCATTTTTTAATTTTTGGAGTTTTCTATAGGGAGGTAAGAGTGGGAGTGTAGAAAGATTTGAATTTTTGGAGATTTATACAGTCGGGTAGGGTACGGCGGATGAGGTTGTTGGGATGGGGTGGGGGAGTGGGTGGAATGGGTGGGTCCATGGGATGAGGATATAATGTTAATATGTCAATTGATATAGAAAGAGAATTAGTGTATATTATATTATAATTATATATTTAATAATTTGATTTACTACCTGATTTATGAAAGTTTTTAGAGAGTTTGTTTGTTATGAAATGTGATTTTTATGGTGTAGTTGTTATGTATTTTTCCACTTAATTATGACACTTGGCCATGACCTGAAGGCAAACCTAAAGTTTCTCCGCGGTACTCATCAAGTTGAACTTGAAACTTTGGCAAGCATATATTTTCTTTCTTTTCCGAGTTTGACTTATTTTGGTACTGAGTTTGGAGCAAATCTATAACTAATTATATATACAATATTCGTATATTTCAGGATGCAACCTTAAAAGAATTTTGTCCATTATACAAATAGTAAATACTTCATCCACTCTCTAAAAAAGGTTTACTTTCATTTTCACACAAATTAAGAAAACTTAATTAATGTGTTGGAACTATGAATTTTCCTTATATTTTCCTAATGTACCCCTAGAATAATGATAGTTCATATTTGTTGATAACAAGACACATTAAACAAGTGTATATCAGAAAATTAAGACATTAATTATACTTTCTAAAAGAATAGTAGTCTATAATTTGGGACCAAAAAAAAAAAAAAAAGCAAGTCTATCTTTATAGGACGGATGATTATTAAATAAGAACACACACCCATAACATGGAAGATGTGCTACTAAATTGTACTTATTTATTTTTGAAGAATAAATAATAAAACGGAAAACTAAGTGTGGATTAACCACTCAATAACAATGAATAATAAAAACTTGAGAAAAAACAAATTATCTATTTATTTATTTATATTTCTTTCTTTCATAAATTATTTTCCGCATAAAACAAGCATGTAAGATGTCTAAATATGACCTTGTGCAATTTGATTTACATTTGATTTAAAGGGAGCATGCCTATATTTGGCAAATCTTTTAACTGGCCTACATCCACGACATAATGAGACATCATGTGCAACAAGTAGACAATATTTACTCCCATCTCTATGAATAACATGTTTCACCACGAAGTATATTAACTGAGAATGATCAATCATTTAAAAATAGCAATAGCTAGCTATATCATCATGTAAGGATCGATGATGTTGGAATTTTTTTACCCAAATCAGGTTGGACTTTTTTTGGGAAAATTTTTTCCTTTATTGCACGCACTTTTATTGAAATTTTTATTTTCTTTATTCTACGCATTTTTATTGGAAAAAATATTATTTCATTTATTCTTCATTATTTTTTATCTTGTTTCCATCTTTGTGTTATTTTTAGGATTTGGCATGCATCTCTATAAATATTAGACTCTTTTCACAAGTTTTGTATTATTCGAATATATAATAATTGTGTAGGCTCATCTATTGTATTTATTTTCTTCATATTCATCAATTGAATAAAATAATTTGTTCTTCTGCCAATTAATTTTTTACATTTTAACTTCTTGTTTGTTTGCAATCATATACATCATATCGTGTCATATATAATTTTTAATAAGACATCTTCTAAAACAAATAGTATAGACAAAATTTTAGAATTAGTTGAAAGAATTCAAATAATAGGAAAAAACCCTATAAAACATTGTGATAAAAATAAAATAGAAGCTAAATTATAAATTATAAATGAAAATATAAAAATTAGAACGGTAAAAATAAAACATACAAATCAAAATATAGAAAATTTTAATATACAGATTAAAGAATTGTTGGATTTAAAAGTAATAAGATCATCTAGTAGTCAACACAGATCAGCAGCCTTTATGGTTAAAAATCATGGTGAAATAAAAACGAAAAAAGCAAGAATGGTTATAAACTATAAAAGATTAAATGATAACACTGTAAAAGATGGATATAAGATACCAGATAAAGATATGCTAATAAACAAAATACAAAATAGCAAGATATTTTTAAATTTGATTGTAAATCTAGATTTTGGCAAATAAAAATGGCAAATGATTCAATTCCATGGAAAGCCTTTACTACTCCATTAGAACATTTTGAATGGTTAGTTATACCTTTTGAATTAAAAAAATGTACTTTCTATTTT